ATCGTACAGTAATTTATTCGCAACTTTGATGCATTCGAGGCATAATTCAAGTATAATTTGATTGCACAATCCAGAATGTGTAATTTTTATTTTTAGTCGATTTAAATTTCAATAGAATCAATGCATTTTTGCAAATAATTACTAGAAAGAATTTCGCAGTATTACCTTCGAACACCTCAAATTATCTAATTTAAACTTGCACGGGACCACTGAATTTTTGTGTAAAGAATCAGTTAAAAGAATTTTGCAAGCTTACCTTAGACCTCGAATTATCTTTCACGTCGAATGTTAAATCGAACTTCTTAAATTTAAGGAACCCTGCAAATAAATCGCTGTGTAGACTTTTATATTCGACTAAAATTCCGCCCATTTCTTCTTTAACAGAATGAACTTCTGTCCTGATCTAGTAACGCGTGAACAGATGCAGAGCCTAATTTTTAAATCTCACGATCCTCGTCGTAGCTCAACTTACCGACTCGCAATCTCTTCCAAATGTGTATTACCTGCCATTAGCTTTCGCTGGGCACTCACACGAGCCGTATTATACACGTATCCACAGGCTACTGAGGGGAAGAAAGGTTGAGTGCTCGTTTGTGTGGGAGTTAGAGTGACAGGGTGCGAGAGGATGGAAAATTGAACGAGCGAGGGAGTAGCATTATAGACACTATCGTCCTCCGTACTAACTCAAACGAAGCTCGTCATATCAAAGGCCGTGGCATTTTTCCTATTGCGTTGAATGTGTTGTCTGGTTATTGTGAATCGCTAACATGGTGACTGACAGTGTCGTCCCTTTGCAAATTTACATTTAACTAATTGTCGCCGGTACTGGTTATTATCAGTACGTACGTTTGTCGCTATTATCCAGAGGCTGACCGAGAGACGTTCTTTGTGTGAACTAATTAGACACCATTTAGGGGCCTTCGGATAGAAACAAGTGGCGGACTCTTGCCCTTTTCGGAATCCTTTCAACCCTCTGTTAGTAGAAAATTGTATAAACATACAGTTGAGAGTGAGGATCCTGTAAAGTTCGTCGAAGGAATTTTACAGGAACTTTACAGGATGTTTCCTGGCAGCTTTGACAGGCTATACAGGAACATAGTCGAGTACGCAGATCGTGTAAAGCTCGTGAAAGGAATTTTGTTGAAGTCAAAGCAACTCGTTCGATGGAACGGTTGAATTTAAGTCGTTCATTGTGAATTTATCACGCAATTCAAATCAAAATTTGTTTAATTTAGAATATTGCCCATCGTTGTTTCGAATTGCATATAGTCGGTGCAATTGAGATTTCACGCGGTTAATTAACGCTTTGACTACTATTCTATTTAAAAAGAGTTTACGAGAGAACTTTCTGTAATAATATATATGTATTAATTGTTGGGATTAACTTACGGATACTTGGTGTATCGGAAGCCTTATCTATTTCTTCAAATTGATCATGGCAAGTGGAGAACCGACGAAAGGTTTCTGTATATAAATGTTAGAATTGGAAAGGCTGCGAATTAGGTCTTGGTGGATGAAGTGTTAAGATTCACGAGGCGGGCAAGGGTCTCCAAGTAACGTTAAACAAAACAGACACAAAGTTCACGGCCAATCGTGAATGTCCTGGCGAAAGTTAATCGAATCGCTCGGTGACGAAAAAAAAATCAAAAAAACAAGCTGGACGTGTTTCAGTTCTGTGCGACACATCTTTTCTCCATCTTTTTTTTTTCTATATTTTTTTTTCTTGCTCTCTTTTTCGTTACGGCAGGACGTCTTTTTTTTTCGATTGCGTTTTATCTATTGGGATATATAGGACACGCACAAACACACGCATACACACGAACACACACGAATCGAGAGAGTATATATTGATCTTTTTTTTTTACCCCTTGTATACACCTTTTTTTCTTGTATATCGACGATTATATCGATGGTGAACGATCATGTTTAATAAATGTGCCTTGTGGACATACATATCTTTTTGCTTGCCGGGTTGGTGGACTCTTACCCCTGATTATATTACCCTCGCCTGGTGGTGGTAATTTTCATGGGCACGGGTGACTGTTAACGTCGTTCGATTGATTTTCTTTGAGGTGTCACTCTGTTGACTATTTTTTTTTTTTTTTCATAGCTAGGAAGATATGGAAATTTCTCTTTATATTTAAATAGAAAATATCGTATATTAAGTGCGATTTCGTTTCATGGGTACCACTGAATTTAAACTTGGGTCCTTGCGGCCCCCTGTATCCGCCACTGGACGTCCCGTTTCTCATGGGTATTCATGAAAATTACGACCACCGTACCCCTGTTACGTTCTATACATTTTTTTCCACTGGGCTCGCAGGTATCTTTGGTGTCTACAGATCAAGTTGGAGATTTCTGTGTCGTAACTCTTGCCTCCCTCACTCTCTCTCTCTCTCACTCTCTCTCTCTCTCTCACTCACTCTTTATTTATTTGCTCTCGCTCACACAATAGGTACTCTATTTTACTCTCTCGGACTCTCGGTCTCTCTTTGTTGCTCTAGCTGTCTCTCCGTGCTCTCCTGCCAGGTATTTTTTTTTTTCTGTCTGTGTTGTACCACCTACCTACCCCAATCGTCGCCACGATCCATCTTCTTCCCTAACTTCAGCCCTTTCCAAAGGAACGGTCACGAGGTTCTTCGAGGGCATAACAGTTCTTGTGTCGACATTAACACAGCCAGCCCCTGTGATTTGATCTAACGAACGATGCCTGACCATTGATACTCCGTAACCTAATTCACAACGGGCATTACGATTATACAGGGTTGCGTTCTGGATGGGGATCACTTCAGTCGGCGGATTGGAACAAGCATTGACGGAAACGGTTGTGTATACATGTATGGGTGTACGGAAAAATTGAAACTTCAAAAATTAGCGAAGTTTTTTTTTTTTTTTTTTTTTTTTTTTTTTTTTTTTTTTTTTTTTTTTGAGACAATTTGCAAGGCATTTACTTTGATATTTCAGGATGATGACGGTGCCAATCGTCATCAATAAACTGGGGATCTTTATGCAAAATGAAATCTTTGCAAACGTATATAATAGAGTCATATACAAATCTAAATAGAAATTTATTTTACTTTGCGAATATTATAACATGAAACAAATGCCTTATATGACCTTCTCCCCGACTTATAGCCATTGGTTTATATATTTGATATTATAATACATAGTATAAATATGTAGGATAAATATATATAGTATAATATAATATTATATAATTTACATTAATATTAGTTTAAATAAAATATTCGAAACAAAAATGGTTATAATTCAGGAACAAGGTCACATCATATGTTAATATAAAGTTTCTTGATGATTACATGCCCCCAATCCATTGCTAAAGTGGGTTCCATTAGTTTATGACACACCCTGTGTATCTGTTTACTTGATTCTCTTGAAATTCAGCGAAATTGTGTTCTTCAGCTTTTCCACCGTGTTTGTTCCTTTCTTTTTATTAATTCAACGTGACCAGTTCTCCTTACGCTCTGTTCAACCCTCGGTGAACAGACTCCCTCTTAATTTTACGACCCCTGTGTCTGCAAATGCCTCGATGCGATACGAATCCACGCTGAAGCCCGCCAAAACGTTTTTTTACAATGTGAATTATAGAATTGCGCTCGTAAAAAAATAAGATTCTTACCGATTTAATCTTAATGATTTTTTTAGTACTATGATACGAACGCTGTTGCTTTAAAAACGTTCGTTTAGTTCATCGAGGATCGTACGCAAAAGGGCTTTTAATGAGGAGAGATGGGAGAGAAAGAGCGAGTGAGGTCTGAGAGAGGGAAGCAAGAAGAGAGAGGGAGAGTCTGAGTGAATTTTTGGTGATTTGGCAGAGGGGGCGAAATCGCAAGTTGGTGCTACATACATATATATATATGTAGCATACATACATACATACATATATATATATAAAACATACGTATATATCGTGTTACAATGGTGCAGTGTCGATTGCTGTTTGGTAGCGGGATCTACAAATACTAACTTCTGTGCTTCCAGGTAGGCCAAGTCCAAATCATTATTCCTCTGGATGACGTGCTTTTCTACGGTCCGAGCGAGACGTCTAACTCTTCGGAGTCCCTAGAAAAAGCAAACACCTCAAACTGCGAGGCTCCGATATTTTTCCACTTACAAAAGAACTTACGTCGAACCAAAAATTCGACAAGTTTCGCACGGACCGTAGAAAATCATCGAATTAATCGTGAAATCGTGCAGGTTGCGGGAACGCGCATAAAAAAAAAAAAAAAGAGAGATGAGACCATGCGACGGAATACTGAAATCAAAATCATCGATCCACGATCAGTGACGAAGAAGTAAAAACATTTCTTATTACATCTCTCTGCACGATGTCATCGACCACGAATCGTGGTGTGGTTACATAGTTGGGTACTCTTCTTATGTTTGTACATACATAGAATCTATTGGGTGTTATCAGATTTTGGTTTTTTTTTTTGTCAATTTTTTTTTCTCAATTTTATCGGAAGTCTATTAATCCACGAGCTGGCAAAACGAATTAATACGCGCTTCGAGCATAATACTTTCAGGCTCGTGTTGCGATCCGAAAAGTGATCGGTTCGGATCGTGAAATTTTTGAAAGGGGTTTTATCATTGCTCGGTGGTAACCAATTCGGAGGATCTGAAAGTTTCTCGTCGACAGAGATAGGTGAAGTCTTTGTCCAAATAAAAGTCTCGAGTATCGAATAAATTTATATATTATATTTGTCGAATAAAAATAACTCAAGGCGTTTTTATCCAACGAATAACTGTCAGATGCAATTAATCGTGGAATAATACATAAAGATCAAATTGCCTTCGTTCTATTTTTTTGTATTTAAATAATTTTTGTATGTAGACGACGCCCATCTCTGCTCGTCGAGGAAAAGAGGGAGGAATTTTGGGATCGATGCTTGTAATCATTTCATCCTTTCGATAGTGTACGATCAATGGAATGAACTCGATCGAACGTTGATTGTCTCCCTTCTTGTTCTTCCCTCTAGGAGGCACGATGTTGCCACCACCACCTGTCGCGATATTCCCACCTGCGGCTGCGATGCTACCACGCGGACCACCACAGTTTGCAGCTCCTTATCCGCCACCGATTTTTTACTGGCCCTATCCCTCGCCGCCAGTCAGCCCCACCAATTATTATAATGCAGCGAACGTTGGTGGCATCGCGGCGATCCCTCAGCAGGCTGCATTGGTAAGAGTCTTTCCTTTCTTATTTATTAATTAAGAAGATTTTCTTAACCACTGTCGCTGAGTCACGCTTTACTTGATAGACGAAAGTGTTTTTAAAAACTCCACGAGTCCTTCAGGATAAATTCAACCCTCCTCTACTACGGTGGTTTCCGACCTCGCCATACTTTTGGGCCATTTTTCACCTAAAGACGCATTTATCACGTACAGATAAGTGTATTGCTCGCTAAAAGAAAAACTTCTTTTTTAAAACCAAATCAATGTTTACTTGTAACCTTTGGCTGATTTCGGTCTTACTGAATTCAGTCTTCACAGTCTTCACATAGGAGAGGAGGATTAAGTATTGCTAAAGACTACAATCTTTATAAATTTTAGTAAAATCTTGACAAATCTGAGTAAAATCCTGAAGAGGTCAAATCATTCAGCAAGTACTAAACATCCGTCAGAAAGTGACCGAAAATTCATACTAAAAAAAAAAAAAAATTAACTTTTTTTCTCTTTTATCGTTCTCATGGTCAAGGAAATCTTCTGCCAAGGGACTTCTTTGTAAAAATTACGGATACTTCGTTAATTGGAGTGTGAATCTCTGTTGCAGTTGACACCCGCGGAGTGCCTGCAGCTGGCACCTGGGGCGACGGTGCCCACGGCGACCACGCCGACAGCGGAGCAACGGATCGACACTTTCCTGCCGCGAATGGAACTGGAGAAACGCGTACCTGTTCCCGCGCCCCCGCAGGCGGAATGCAGTCCGTTCGTCGAAGTGTTCATGGTTTGATGATCATGGTCGTGAATTCGTTCGGCGATCCGCTTCTTAACGCCTGTCTCGTTGTTGATATTCGACGGAGTCGAGTCAAGCGCGTAAACCTTAGCCTCGCACGACAGAAACTTAACGTTACGTCTTTCCTGCTCCTTGCATAAGAAGATTCTTTGTGGCGAATGTAGTACAGTCTACGGTACGAGTATAGTGATCCTATTGGGTCAGTTTAGAGAGAGCTGTAGAGCTGAACTTTGTTGTGTAGGAGCCGTTGAAAGGGTAAGGTCTGTTGATTACAGGGCAGTGGTCACTGCTTGCTGTTCGCAACGCGTGTGCTCGTTTTGGGTCTGTTAGAACCTTAGGGCAATGGCACCTGAGCGTTTGTGACGGTGACTTTAAGGATCCACAAAGAGGATCTTGGTAGGATCATGGAAAAAGAATCAAAATCCTTTGTTTGGGACTCGCTAGGTTACCAAGTAGCAAGTTCAATCTAAAGTCCAGGAATAGTAGATAGAACCTAACCAAATGGTGGTAGGAATGCTAATGTACCCTTAAAGAGAATGTATCTTGGAAGATACTACCTACTTGGAAGATAGTATCTACGTCAGCACGTAAACAAGCCAGAAGAAAGCTAAGAAGCTAATGAATATTCTGATACAGTTTTTAGTATGAATGAAATTAATCTGGTAGTTTTGTTGCTGTTTTTAAAGGTACGCTGAAACGCTCAGTAGCAGAATGCAGGTGGTCCTAAAGTTCCAGCGTCTCTACAGTCTCTCCAGTCATTATATTTGTACCGTCGTTTGTACACCGCGGCCATTAACGAGGCCTTGGGCGGAGATATCCAGCGCGACACGATTTATTATCCTCATCTTCGAAGAAAGCTCCCCCGTAAATCTAACGTGTCACCAAGTGTCACGTTTCTTTCTAGTCTAGAGACAGATGCAAGTCGTCGTAGCATAGCGCAGTGACGTCGTTTCTTTCTCGTCGTTCGTTTCAGTTGTTCTGAAGCAGTACGCGCGCGGCGCGTTCTCTATCCTCCTGATCCTCGTTGTTTCTGGGCCCATGTTTAACAGCCTCTCAATCTGTCAAATTGTCCCTTAAGTAATGCTATATTTCCCTTTTCGAAAAGGGGTAAAAGGAAACGATTCATTTACTATCATTAATCGTCGATATATTTCCCTGTACTGGAAAGGCGAGGACAATTTAGTTAGGTGTTTATCCAAGGTTACTTAACTCCTTTCCTTTAGTCAACAATTGAAGAGTTTGCAAATTTGTTGAACAATGAGTGAACAGAACCATTACAGAAAAGGAAGAACAATATGTCGGCGATTAATGACTGTACGTAAATTATTTTATTTTACCCTACTCGATAAAAGAAAGCTCGCATTACTTACGAGATGACTCGTTACATTTCTGGAATCCATTACTCGCTCTGCGTCCGAGCATCGGAGCGTTACATGGCTCATTCCGAGAGCAAAGTGTTAATCGACAATTAAACAATTATGCGGTTGCCTCGATATCAGTAATACATAGGTTTTAGAAGTAATCGACGTCGATCGTTTTGTGTAAGCCTCCAGAAGTAACGATCGCGACGTGCGGTTCCAGATCACCTGACCAATAGTTGATCACCACCAGTGTTAAATTTTGTCGCAATAATCAGAAGAATTTCAAACCTTGAAGATAGCCTCATCTTCTGTAGCTTTAATTACATTTGAAGTTATTAAATTTAGGTTATCGACGAGTAGTAGAAATAAGAAATTATTCATCTTACAAAGGGTAACTCTTGCCTTATAAAAGTATAACAATTGGCAGTATATCATGGAAAACAGATCATTTGGTCAACTACTGACGAGGTGATCTTACTCGAAACTAGTTAACTTGATACGCGACGGCTACCTTTTAATTTGTACAAACGTATATTTTGCAACGTATATTTTTCTCAACATGGCCGCGCGAGCAGTCGTTGTCAACGCCGAATTAACGACGGCGTTTTTATCGTAGGAATTTTACTTAATTTAATTTAAAGTTTTAATATGAAATTTAATATATTCCCTATCGAGCATCGTTGCTCAAACGATACGTATATTATCATTGATTCGCTATATGTTTCATTACATTATTCGTCAATGTAAGTAATTATTATTCGACTGTGTAAGCGTCGTCTGACGTTAGCTTCCGAATCATCGGTTTGCTTGAATCGCTGTGGGAGGCTGCGTAACAGCAAACATTACGAACGTCTTCCGTTAGTGTGTTACTCGTTCGAGCCAATTTTTTTTATCATCGATTCGTACACACTTTCGCGTGTGCAACTCGATATATACTTCATAGTTGATACTTATTGAGGATTCTAGGTGTAATCAGTATTTTTTAGGTAAGATACTTCAACGTCTCTGCAGCATTCCAGTCAGTCTTTAAAGGAGCATTATTATCAAATATTTTATCCAAAGGAAGTTGCTTACACCCAGAAGCCTCAGTTAGTATCAACCATGTAGAATCAGGCCGTGAAAGCCTAAAATATTTTAACCAATTTTATCTTGTTCTTACAGAGTTGCGTCTACAAGAGTTACGTCCATCGTGTTTAATAGTTCGGAATACGATCAGACGACGAATTTTCGTTCAAAAACACGTTGAAATGAAAGTCTGGTATAAAGAAATTCTATTCCACATTCTCAACTTGTTTTTGTATAATAAATCGGATTTTTCGATCGTATCGCGTGCTGTCTGACACTCTGTACGAGTCGATAAGAGATGCGTTGTTTACGGTTGGTAAACATTCAGGTCAAGTGTGTGGACGCCAGAGATGAACTGATCGCTCAATCGCGTAATTAGTTCGTATATATTTATGAAACAGTTCTTTTCTCGAGCGTTTGGCACGTGCGATTTTTTAATCATTCGCTCCTACTCAGCTATTTACTTTCTTCGATACCCCTCCCCCTATTCGAAGTACGTTCACATTTTCATAGCTAATTTTTTTTATCGTGCATCAGTAATAGCAGTCGAAAAAGTTCACATGCGTGTTCATAGATGTTGCTTGGGTTTGCGTTACCAACGCAGACCATAAGTATTTACGTCTATGATTACAAAGTACAGGGGAGGGAAGGGAAAGAAATAAATTACAGATACTTCGCGTAAAAATCGAGCCAAGGACATATTTTCTTCAATAGCTTTGGAAATCGTGTTTCTTCTAGCTGTTCCTGTTCCTGCTAACGGCGCTCGTGTACAAAAAAAAAGGTGCAATTTTAGATGTAAAGAAAGAGTGAAATGCTCCAGGGTCGTTCTATCGATAGAAATTAAGAATTACTTCCGGTAAAATAACTTTATAATTCTTGCGACGCGAACATATTATACATATATATATGCAAATTATACGAATAATAGATATATACGTATGCGTCCTTAACGAATATTATTTACAGCTAGGTTTCGACGCGAGCTTGAAATAATCGATAATCGATGATGCGAGTATAGTTTTATAATTGCCAAAAAGTTCAGCGTACGTTCCGATCTAAAAGTATCGATAGTGATATCGTGATGTTTCTTTCAATTAAACGGAGATAGCTTTGTATTTAAACAAAACTAAACGGTGAGAGATAAGAGTTATCGCTAGATTGTGTATGGTCGTGCGCGTAAATAGAAAAAGTGTACAAAATATACAAGTCATGCATGCAATACACTTAAAATAATATATAATGTAGTATGCAAAATATATGCCAAGTATCGATACGCAGCAACGGTGTCTGCGCATTTTCCACGTATTATGTGTACGAGTGCATAAATTTTGCATATTCACAATTGCATAACTATCCACAGTCTAGCTGATCGAAACTCGAAACAGATAATCCACGAGTTGATCGATAACTATTGATACATTTTTGAATATATCACGATTATCGAACTCTCGATTCAAACGTACCTGAAGTTATTTCATCGAACGTGCGCGCCAAAACCGTTACTGACCCGCGCGATTTGTTAATTTAATATTTTGCCCAGCGATTCTTGTCGGCGAAGTGCAATGAGATGCGAGGAGGCGATTCAAAAGTACGAGTACTCCGAGTCGACGTTTATCTCTCATAAACAGACGAGTCTATTCGTTTTTTTTAAGTTTTTTTCTTTTGTACGATAAGTACGTTAACCCTTTGCTGTCCGGACTTTATGGCTTCAACAGGTTTTCGTCGAG